CTTAAGTCATGACGTCACGTCCTATTTCCTTTCTCACAGTCAATGGTGAATCCGGTTTACACCATCGACGGTGCGGACGGCAGCCAATCAACGGACGAGCAGTCGCCGCGTGACCCGCCGGGCCCGAGCGCCCCGCACACGCCTGTATCCATCCGCCGGAGTTTCCCGATGTCGTTCTCGTCGTCCCGAAGTTCCCCGAGGCCGCGGCCGAAGCTGACGTCAAACGACGACCGCGCCCGAATCCTCTCGGCCGAGTTCTTCGCGGTCTACGACGTCCTCGAGCTGCTATTGGTCACGAACTTTCACGACGTTTGCCGAACGTACTGGATCTTTCCGATCTACGTCGTCGCTTTCTTGAGCATGTTTAAATCAATACTTCGCCTCGACCATAGATTTCTGCCTATAGTATCCATGGCAACGCACGAAATACCGTTTTTGATCCTCCGCATAGCGTTGCTTGCAAAATTTGGCATAGAGATAATGAGCGTGGTGTACCCTTTAAAAAATCTAGCCGTGATCGCGTTTTACGTTTACTATAACTTCATCGTCGTGATTATAAAATCGCGAGCTTTCAACAGAAATAGATACTCTTTCCCAAATCGCGACGACGCGGTTAGTACGACCAGCTTTTCTACCATTTCGTCGCGACCTGGTTCTACCCTTTATTAAGAGTCACGACCGGGTCACGATGGTCGTAAGATTGTCTTACAATCGTCGCACGATCGTAGTACAATCGTCGTACAATCGTCGCACATTCGTCGCACGATAGTCCTACAATCGTCGCACGTTTGTTGTACAATTGCAATACAATCGTTGTACAATCTACGACATCAAAATCGTGCTACGACCCACGTTAGTAAGTTCTAGTGATACAGACAGAGATTTATTGTATATATGTAGGAAACCTTACTAAAATGTATTGCAGTATGTGTAAAATACATTAAGTTGCTCATTCTATCAACTAATGGCAGGAAGATAGTCCGTTCCCTTTCAGTCCTGTAACTTTGTAGCGTTAAAAAGACGTCTAAAAAACAAGTAAGATAAATTATCGATTGTAAATACTCCAAACTCCAAATGTAAATACCAGTAGGGGATGGTGTCAGCGAAGTGTTTATCGGATAAATTAAGTACATAACGTTACGTGACTAAGATGTAGTAAGCTTAAAAATATTAACCTTCCTACCGATCCTTTCCTAAGTCCATGTGTTGTTGTCGGAAAAAGAAACATAAACGTAAACATAAACAGCAAGGTGACTAGACATAGCCCATTCTATCTACAATTATACAAAAGGAAATTATAGGACGATATAAACAAGTTACGTCTAAGCATACCTAGCCTAGGTAAGTAATGTAAAATTATGACACATAAATTCAAACATCAACCCTCGGACCACGAACTTGCTTTATTGATCGTTTCAGACAACAAACTTTGATTAAAACACACGAATCGATAACTCAATACACGCGTGCTTGATTTTTTTTTTACATTTTGTATGTTTTGCTGTCTCTTAATGTTATACTTTGACCCAGGGTTTGCACAAACCATACATATGCACGGTTCTAGATACTATTAAGCCTTATCAGAACGGTTTTTGGAAATTTGTAAAGTTCAGACACGAAAAACAACTAATGGCTCAATCAGTAGTGATTTTTGCGAGCTGAATAAGAATGACCCCCCGCAGCGCTGATAGATCAATACCGATCGATAAGATCGATTTCTCACAAAGTCCGTCCAACCAACGGAACATCTTTACTAGGGACAAATCAGCAAGTATGTACGACATGTATGTATATGTACTTAGACTCCAAAATATAAAATACAGTATGTATATTGACTTACAAGGGATATCTTCCTTTGTAAGTCAATATACATACTGTATTTTGTCCCCACCAGACTATTAAACAAGGCAGTTGAAAATAGTAAAATTTGCTAAATAGAGAGAATATTTGCCAGGGGCTTTGGCCACCATAGAATTCATTTGCCCTAGGGTAAATATTACCTTTACCACGGGTGCACTCTCATATAGCCAATTATTCTAGCCTCCGTAGCAGGCTTATAGAACTGAGGGTTTGGTGG